CAAATAATTCTCTCCGCTCGTGAACAAATCGTGATTAAATTAAATTTTCCACAATCCTGTATATATATATATATTTGTTCACTCGATGTTATCGTATATTTTGTGAGTCATTTTTTTATTTTATTACCAACGCAGACACATGAACTTTCATTTTTAAAATGAAACGGAAATAAAAATAGCGAAACCTCACTTGCAAGAATGAAATTGCAATTAACGATCGACTAAACGAACTGAACTTATCCCTGTTTTATTAAATTCACTCATCTGAATGTAAATTCCATTTTGAACGAAAAAATTGTAATGTAACAGATAGACATCTTATACGTATAAAAATGTCATAATTATGCGTTAAACTTCTCCTTTTATGTACTTAAGTTTGCGTGATTGCCAACCACGTATTTCGATTAACATTAATTATTTCTTTCTCTCTTTTTTACGAAAGTCAGATTTCTCAGCTGGATCTATTTCTGTACACGTATAAATGAGCTTCTCCCTAGATCCTCCGGTAAGATACATAATTGCGGCAAGTTTTTATAAATACAATAGAGAGGTTAACAGCAGGCCAGAGAAGGCCTTGCGCTACTTTAATTCGCCCCTGCTCGTGCATAGACGTTCGAGCAGGGGGAACGACGCATTCAGGCGAATTAAATAATTGCTGATAATAAATATCTCAGACTAACAAATTTTAAACGACCCTAATTTATCACGATGCAACGCTGTATGAAATCTACAGACTCGTGAATAAGTATTATAACAACTACACAGTTATGTGCGATAAGTTGTAATACATTATTGTTGAGGATTAGTAAGAAGAAAAGTTTCTTATGATCTCTAAAAGAAAATTCTGGTAGGATTAATCACGTGGTACATCTTTTTTTTACAATAACAAAGATCAGAAACAAAATAATTAATGCAAATTAAAGCAAAAAGAAAAAAAGATCGCTAGTCTCGTGTAACATCTAGTCGTAAGAGCAACTTTGCATTTCAATAAATTATGTTTCCTTCATTTCCAGAACTATATTTCCATTTCTATAACATAACTATAACTATGTCATTTCTAAATAACAAACTGTGGAGTTCAATATACCACGAAATAATGAAAGATAAGATTTTACGGTGTATGTGAAAAACACAAAATTGTAACTGTAATATCTCCTTACTATCGGACTGTCCTTAATTATAAAAACGCCGTTCGTTTCTTATAATTATTAAAAAAAAAATATCTAGCCTAAAAAAAAAAAAAAAAAAAAGAATCGATCTCGATAGGGCTAGTCGCATTGTGCAACGCGACCAACGACCTCCGCTTACTGCCTCCAACCATTTCTGATACTCTCGACGGCGATATTTGTGCACGGTACACTCGTCGAATATCACGTACGTACGGTATGTACGAACGATAAAAAAAAAAGAGAGAGAGAGAAAGGAGTGCAGTTTCGCTGACTGCACGCTCGTCGTGGTAGAATTCGGCGAACGATTCCGAATGCACGGGCTGAAAACCGATCTCGAGAGAGGTCGAGGGTCGCTCGATCTGCGTCAAACTAGTTTAACGAGACTTTGATGCGACTCTCCCACTCGCCTGCTCGTCGCCGAGTTACGATTCATAAAATTCTTCGTGCTGTGCCTTTCCCCGGTACAACGGCTGAGGAAAGTAGTTGCCACAGGTCAAGGAGACGCGCAATAAAGGGTAGCCGGATTTTTTTTTTTTCTTCTGTTATCCGGTAGCCCTCGTAAGTTTCCTCTAACGAAGAAAATAAAGCGTATCCCCTTGGGATACGTTGCTTTATACGATTATTGAACGGGGCATTTTTGAACAACACCGTGACGATTTAGGAATAAATTCGATCACCGTTTGGTAAGAAAGTTTCACGAATCGTTGGCTCGTTGACACTCCATCGAGCGAGAGAAACAACGTCTGTTGCGACGAGACAAGTGACGATGTCTGATCTGTGAACTCTAAGTGTACAACAATCCAGAGATAGAGGATGTTTTATGGTTATCGCGCGAGATATTTTCACGACGTGATTTAAGAATAAATTGATCTCATCTTTGGTAAGAAAATGTCACGAATCGTTGGCTCGTTGAAGCTCTCTCTCGAGAGAGAAATGGTGTCTGTTGCGACGAGACAAGTGACGATGTGATCTCTGAACTCCAAGTGATTTCGAGCATACAACAATCTACAACGGGGAGTAGGTCTCCTCGGGATGTTTTATAGTTGTAAGATATCTTCGAATACCACACAAGGCAACTTGGAAATGAATTAATCATTTCTAGTAAAAAAAAAATATCACTTCATCGCTCCATTGCGAGCTTTTTCAAGCGAAAGAGGGTGACGACAAGTGATGGTTTTATAATCTCGTGTTCTGCTTAGGTGGAGGATTTATGATAATTTTTTTATGATCTTCCTGTGGTCCTCGAGTGACAATGACACGAGCTTCGAATAATTCAACGAAAAGAATACGGTCTGCCCGAGTTTTATGGTTATGGTGTTAAAAATAAATTGATCATCCTTAGGGAGAAAATTTCACGAGTCATTGCTCGTTGAAGTTCTTCGAGTGGAAAAGGTGGCGACTGTTGCGATGAGACAAGTGATGGTTTTATGATCTTGCGTTTTGCTTAGGTAAGGGTTTATGGTAATTTTTTACGACCTTTCCGTAGACCTCGGATGTCGATGATACGACCCGTGAGCTTCAAATGATTTCAGGTATACATAGCAAGACCTTGGATATTATCCTTGGCTTTTTAAATTGAATTTTGACTAGAAAAACATGGTGTCATATTGATTTTACTTGAAATAATTTTACTGAAACTAATATTTATCTTTAATATTTGCATAAAATTAATCATATTTTTACAAGTTATTTTTTTTCAAGATTTTGAACTAAAATATTGAGGAGAGTCTTCCATTTTATAGTACCTTAAGATACTATAATTAAATATTCACAAAAAGTCAAAAAAGGACAAAGATAATTTTCTTCAAAATAAAACTACGAGAATTCTATGATTTATTTTTTTTAAACACCATTCTTTCAAGCCAAGATAACTCGATTAGAACTCTAATTTATATATCTTTGGAACATTTTCTTTCTCACCTCAAATTCTAAATTTTAACTGATATCATTGAGCCATTGGGAACGATTACATTACCCAATTACTAATAATATCTATCACAAAGAAATACAATGAAATGAAATATCTCAAATTCATCTAATACAGATTATCACAGTCATTTGTACAAGCAAAGTGAGTAAAAGCGAGAATCGCTATGTGAATATTACATTACCATTATCTAATATAATACAAAACATTATTACGTTTAATAAGAACATTATCAAAGAATACGCCATCGTCGCGACGCTAAATATCACCTATTTAACAAATCTTCAACGCAACGATGTTGCTCGAGGATTGACATTCTAAAAAAAGAAGGTGCACTAAAATTATTTTTTTCAAGTCGAAGAAAATAATCAAATTACCGCCATCGTCTTCGTCGTCGTCGCATTTTTTCCTCCCCTGCGCGATGATTGTACGCGATGTGCCAAAGGCAGGGATTACAAGAGAATCGACGAGAATTCGCGAGGTGGTGGCGAGGCGTGTGCCGGGGTGAACGCGCGTGCATATCCGATGAGAGCAGCGGGGGTGGAGGGTGGGTGGCGCTTTCGCGAAATGGTAAAATACGAATGGAAAATTGGCTGGCGTTTCGGGAACGGAATTATCGGGACGGCGTGCACGTGCATCTGGCGGAAGAAGAGTCGATGGCGTGCACAGCGCACGTGTACCGGCAACGTTTTTGGAGAACGGGGGGCCGCGAGCCGCGCGTGCACGGCCGCGCCGCGTTTCTATCGATTGCGACAGAATTCACGCGGCGGACACCCCCGCGGAATCGTTTCGTCGGGGATTGTTGCCACCGCGCTTTATATTTACGAGCCACAGCTGTCCGATCGCGTCTACAATTTACTACGACGCGTCCCGCGCACCTGCGTTTTTAAATTATCCAACTCGCGCGCCCCCTCCATCCACCCTTCGTATTACTGCGTACGATGCGTCGCCACTCTCCGCGTACAGACAAGTATTCCGTCAGTTTCTTGACGGTCCGTGTCGATCGAACATTCGTGAAATGGAAGATCGATAGTTGATAGCCACAGCGAATGGCACGACGACGATGAAAAATTGTCGACGATTTCAGCTAATATAACGTCGAGCAAATGTTGGGATCAAAAAAGATCGTGTAACGATTCGCTTGGCTTCATTTCAAAGCGTAAAGCTTCCACTTTTTGTGGATCCGTTCTTCTCGAAGATGATTTTACATCTTCGAAAGCGGGTGGCGAAATGAAGGTGACTTTTTTCTCGAAAAGTGTGAGAATTCGAACGTGTAAAAACATTGAAAGATTTTTCTCGTGACTAAACTCAGTACTTCAGCTTTGAAGATTGAAATTTTCTTGAGCTCTCAAGATTCGCTGTGCAATTTTCTTTCTTTTCATCGCTTTATAGAACTTGCATCATTATATCGAAACTCTTAGATATTTTATAAAATACACTACGAAGTGATGATGATGTTGAAAATGTTTAGAAACAAATTTATACAAAACAAGAAAATCTGTCCTGCATAAAAAGATTCAGTGAATTATGTCACAGTTAAGAAGAATCAATTGAATAATATATTCGAAGGAGTGATCCAACGATCGTGATAATATCATTTAATAGTTTCAAATTAAATAAATTTTATTAAAGATGTAAGTTCGATATTAATAGAAATCTCGAGTCTTCTCAATTACAAGCACAGAAGTATACGATAAAAATACGATATAATAAAAATATCTGTATTTTAGGATTATTATGATTCCTTACGAAAAAAAGAAAAATAATCTGAAAGAATAATATTCAATTTTTGTTTCAGACAGAGTGAATCCTATTGTTAGTTTCACACGATGAATATTTTAAGAAAAATTAAAAGTATTTCTATGTAACGTTATTTATGTGTTCCGTTTGTTTTATGATTGCAGATGAAGTAGACGTGATCGGTTACACGAGCAATCAATCGGACACCGATGATCACAGCAGTGTGCAAAGCAGCAGCGACAGTGGTGTCGCAATGTCCACCTCCAGGCTGACTCTTTCCGAAATGATGGACAATCTTTAGGTATATATATATATATTTTTATTGATTTGGAATTTTTCAATTAATATCCTTAGCCAAAAATTCAGAATTTATTGGATAGAATTTTTTTTTGAGCCAATATTCCTTCATAATTTACACATTGTTTTCAATTTTAAAGTCAAAGAAATGAAATAGTTGTTATACAATATCGAACAAAAGTTTGAATATACTTTTACTGCATTTTGCATTTCATATTTAGTTTAATATTTTGTTATGTATTAATTCTTGCGTGTTTTTTTTTTTTTTTTTTTTTTACTGGCATGTTTTTGTTGCTAAATTTTCATAGAAGAACGGGAGGAAAATTGACTCGTGGAATATATAGCGAGCGGGCACTTTGCATTCACCGGAGGCATCGTAGCTTCCTCTCGTGGCCAGCGTGAAAAGCGCGTTCGATCGGCGATCGAGAGCAAAAGCAGCGGAAGTCTCGTAAAGTCGAGTTCGCGGCAGTAAAAGAATCGGTCGTAGCCCAGAGAGCGGACCGGAAACCGGCTGACGCCGGGAAAACACGCGAGTCTTAAATTTATTTACCCCGGCGGCCGTCGTGCCCTTTCGCGTCCATCCTTTTTTTCCACCCACGTACCACTGTGTGTGGAAATTCTGTTCGAAAACAGTCGATCGATGCTGTAAACCCAAACGATAGCCACGAGATTTTTCGGATTCTTTCTTCCGCGAAAGTTCGCAGAATTTTGCAAGCGAAAAAACCGAGAGGAATTTTTCTTCATCTTCCGCGTAAATTTATATTCTGTTACGAAACGGTATCCTCTTTCAACGATCAAGTCAATTTTTACTACTTTGCGAGTAATTTGCAACAATCACGAAAATTTACTTTCAACAAATTTTGTAGACCGCAAAGATCATACAACTCGGACATCTATCCTATACAGCGCGCTTATTTAACTTGAAACGTGAACTCCAACTTGTACAAACCACTTGTGCAGCGAATTCACGTGAACGATTATTACACGCTTTATTGACTAACTCGAAGGAATTTAAACTCGCCGTACACCGTCAACTCGCAGTTCCCATTCTTTTTCATATCGGAATTCAGAGAGGTGGGGGAGGCGGAGGTGACTTATTAGTCGGTATGCGGATCACGGATAACGAAGCAAACTCGAAAGAAGAAAAATTCCTCCCGTTCAAACGAATATTCCGCGCGTTTTCTCTTCTTTCGTCACGCTGCTCCTTTAATAAAGCGCCGCCGTACGCCTGGTTGCGTAACGCGTTTGAAACGCGGAGTCGCGTTTCTCAACGATCTCGCGCGCGTCCTCCATCCTCTGCCGCCGCCGGGGGAACGTCTGAAATGCATTGCGGTGAAACGCATCAGCAGAGTGCGTCGACTCGCGCCCGGAATACGCAATATACATATGGCGAGATCTATACGGTGAGAGAGATGCGGCTCACGCCGGGGCAAATTCGCGTCGCGGTTCAACCGCGTTCACTCGTAATCGTCGCCCGAACTCTCGCTCTATTTCTTCTCTAACTTTCAGAATACCAGCTACCGAGTCGTCGTGGCAGCCGGCAGCAGCCACGAGCTCTTCGCTAAGCCGTGGAAATCGTGCAAAACGACGCCCACCCGTGAGACGTTCCGCGTCGAGATTCGTCGAAGATGATCGCGATACGCCGACAGCCTCGCCGGATTCACGGATCTCCACGCGCTCTCTCCAAGGTAACAGCATTTTCATCGGATACATTTTGCGCGGCCACGCGCGCCGCCCGTCGAGTATCGGCTCACGGGAACTCCGAGGCGCGTGTATTACGCCAGGGAGCCTGCACGGCGAAATGGCCGATAAATGTTTTCTTAGCGGTTCGCAGTTTTGCGCGAATGCAGCAGGCTTTGTGCACCAATGGCGGCTCGGAGTTATTGTCTCGCTGGATGCTTGTTTCTTGTAAAGTGTAACGTTGCCACTCTGCGCGTCTCTTTCGGAAACATGTGGAAACGTGCTTCACGTCTGAAACGGTTCTTACGGTCCATCAACCGTTACGACGTTCGCGAACGTATTCGCGTTCGAGGAACGTTTCTCGAAAGCTTCTGTAGCTTTCTCTGTGGCGTTTCGTAATCGAAACGGGAGGGAACGCAAAAGTGGCAAATTTTAATGAAATATTCGCGCGATCGTACAAACTTGGAAATTCGTAAGTGGATGTTCGCGTTCGATGTTTGTCCATGGCTATCATTGATGAATTCTATACCTTTGATTTGATCGAAATACATGGAAAGAACCTGCCGCAAAATTGACCATGACCTTCAATTTTCAAAGGTCAAAAAATTTTTTTTTTTGCATTGTATTCTACTCAGCACGAATGGTAAAACTTTTCCAAAGAACCATAGGTCGCAACCTAATAGTTCTCTTGGAAAATGGCAAAATAGTCTATCTTACGTCATTTTCGTATTAGGTCTCACTAACATTTGATTTATCAGAGTTGTACCGTCAACGTGAGTCTAAATAATCAAACGATAAAACTAACTGTTAACATTATTCCAAACATAAACGTTACGCAACAAATATACCACCCTGTACATTTGTGTACAACGAAAACGAAATAAAAGACACGGATGAAAATCTCTTAATGTTGAAGGGGTGAAAATTACCCTCAAAATTGAGGATGCGGAAGATATTTTGTCAAATATCTCGGAAATTATTAGAAATATAATTTCAATGCAACAGTTTCGAAGATACAGTTTCAATCCTCTTCAACATCGACGATTGCCGATAAAAAAAAAAAAAAAAAAAAATACAGGTCAAATATCTTCTTGCAAACTACCAATTTATCCCAAATTTCATCAAAATCGATGGTTCACGCTGTGTTCCCTTCATCGAGTTCTGAGACCTGATCTAGTAAACATTAAAGAGAACAAGAGTTCAAACGGAAATGCAGACTAGACCATGATTGAGAGTGCAAGAATGCTTTATATTCTCGCGCCAACAGCTGGAGCACGATTTGCTACGACTCAACGGTAGTGTAACGCTCGATCCTTCAGCTTCAAGTCAATTCCCGCCGCGTTTCACTCAACGAAACGGAGATCCCTCCCGGCGGAAGAAACACTTTGACGATGTTCATTAAATTACAATCGCCCTGGGGTTCCTCAATGAAAGCCCCGGTGGAAACGGTGTCGCGCCGCGGCCGAGGTACTTTGCACCGTCTGTAAATAAGAGAAACTGCAGACCGACGCGCTTTCTCCCCTTTACCGTGGCGCATATTATCGCCACGTTCTGCGTTTTCCTCGACAATGTCGAGCGTATCCGATCTTTCGCGATGGCGAGCGGTGGTTAATCGGCCGGGGCGATGCTTCGATCGGCTCGATCGGCTTTTTACCTCGGCCCCCCGAGGCTGTATCGCGATTCAGTTTCTCCTCCCCCCTCCCCTCGCCGTTCGACTCTCCGGGGAAATTTAAAAAATCCCAATCCCAAAGGCGAAGAAAACGTACGAGGAGCTATTCGTCTTGCTACGGCTGTACATTTCCGCTGGAAACGTATCGCGTGTCGTTGCGTTTCTCGCTCGTGGCGTGGTAATTTCATACGCGATTCCGTAGCGTTCGATACAGTCTTTTGTGGATTATATATCATTTATATATAAAGACTGTTTGTGGGAAGCGTACGTAGCAACTGAATTTTTCTGTTGAAATTATTGCATCCTGATCGTTCAATTCGTCGCGAAGCAGTCGTTTTTAAGCAAAGTGGAGACGATTTTGTACGAAAGGAGGAAATCATTACGCGAGACTCATAGTCCATAAATGTCAGCTTATTATCGGGATACGTTCACGTGGGATACCGCAGGAAACGCGCGTCGATCTAGTTTTATCCGTCTCACCGGTCGACGATCTCGTTAAGTTCGTTTATCGTCCGGCTATATTCTTGAGAGATTTCTACGGCATACTTCGCTGAGAGACTGGCACTTTGCTGGTTTCATTTATGACCGCTCTTCAGAAATGGTTTCGATTTTATCGCTTATCAACGATTCGCTGTCGGAATGATTTTACGAACTGGCCACTTTGTACAATCGTCGTTCGAAATTTGTAGGAAATTTCGTAATGTCGTTTTTTTTTTTTCCAACTTTAATAAACATTGCCATCCAGTGACAATGATGTAAATAAAATAAAATTTTGTGCAGTATCAAGAAACGACGTTGCCCCTGTTACATAAATCTCGCATTTGAGATGAGAACAAAAAAATTTTTCACCAAAGCTCCTATTTCTCAGAAACATATAAATTTCCATAAAAATCCGCAGTCTGCCAATCGTTATCGAATCTACAATTAACTTTCGTTTTCGGGAAAAGCGTAGAGGAAAAGAGTGAGTCGCATAGCCCAGTAAGAGGACGCGCAGCCGTAGGATCCATCTCCATATGTTCTCCGTTGCGTTTATTTCGAGGTTCTCGTAAAGACATCAAAGCTACTTTCATCCTTGTCGGTGAAATAAAGACTGCGGAAGTCCATAAAAGTCGAACGGGGACGGGGAATGTTAAGGGGCGAGCGATCGATGTGCGCGCTGCCGCGATCGCGTGTACACTCGCCCCGGAGATTTTCAATAACGTTTACAACGCGATCGCACGTGAAGCACGTGTAATGGGTCGTTTAACGACGACCGAAGCGTTCGTTCGGTTTAAACGGGACGCTTTTTTCGTTGGATTTCACTTTTTTCCCCGGTAGAACCTACTGTTTTCACGGAGGTGAACGTCTGAAATATTAAATTTGGAACCGAAGTCTGCTACATAGATTTTGCTGCGATATTAATTTTGATATTGCGTGTCGTTTTTGTTTGCCGCGCAATCACGAAAGTCTACACCTCTGGGCCTGTCAAACGTTCAAGAGAGGAATTTCGAACACTACGAGTCGCGATTAATTTCTAAATATTTGACAGACTTTAAAATTTAATTTAAAAAAAAAAAAAAAGAAATAAAATAAAATGGGGAGACCAGGAAAGAAATTTTGCTACATTAAGATCTGAAAGAAGTTTGTGTAATATTATTAAGTATGGTATTCAGTCTCGTTATACTATGCGCGTTATATAC